AAGTAACATAAGTTAGGTTTTCTGTGCATTTATAAAAGGTGTGTTCCTTTTGTTATTATTTGTTTGCGTGCGGTTTATACGTCCATTTAGTCTTCTATTTTATTGTTTATGCCTATATTGTGTGTTATTTGTGTGTTGTCTTATTGTAGTACCACTGCCACTGGGTGAAAACCCATTTGCAGTTAAATTCGATTCAATTGAATTCTTTATTATTTACGTGCCGAGTCAACAGCCGCAAGGCCAATTACAGACAGAGCACAGTGTAGATACAAGTAATTACATTATGGACAATCACAACACAAAGTCAAAGACAAATTACAAGAAAATACTCGAGACAAGGAAACAAACAAACAAACAATAATAATAATAATTTCATTAACATAAATCAATAATGCAGTCAAGTAAACAAACAAATATTAATAATATTAATTTCATTAACCTAAATCCAAGTTGTCATTGAGAACTAAGCAATGAAACATACTATAATAATAGTAATAATAATAATAATAAATTCAAATCTTTATTATTTATGTGCCAAGTGAACTTCATTCCTCTTTTGTTCTAATTTGCGTGAAATATTTTGATTTATTTAGTCCCACATGTCACCCCATTCAGTTGCATTTTGGGGGTGTAAAGAGTGCAGGATTGTAGTTAGGTTCCTTTTCGCATACCACAATTTTATTTCATTTTCTATATGTATTTTCAATTCCGTGTGTTTCGCTATGGACTTATTTTGTGGCATCTTTTTTATATGTACATTATTTGGTGTTTCGTTCTAAACATGTTCTATTAAAATAAATATTATCTTTACAATTTAATAACTTTATTTTTCTTTTGTTCGTGAATTTGTTTACGCGATGTACATGACTAACATGAAATAGCTTTATCGTTTGCAACTTCTTGTGTACTACTGTATTATATTATTATATAACTGTCAATATAACAAATTCGTAGTAAACAACTAACTATTAATGTATACTAATATTTATTTATTTGTACATTTGTTAGAAGTTTCGATCCAGCTGGATCACTATCAGGCAAATATTCATGAAACGTACACGAATATTGAATTGTATTATTAATGTGGATCCATATTAGAGGCCATAAATATAAATTTCATTACGATTGTAGAAGACTTGGATGAAGTTTGCAGAATCCCTGCTGTTAGAAGTCGTATCCAGGGAACGACTAGTGAAAAGCTGTTAATGGAGATAGATAGGATTTAGCGAATGCTGTAGTGAAGAATAGAGTGTTCTAATGCGAGCATTATAATTACTTTCAGTTACGATTGGTAAGTGTTCAACAAATCCAATTACCAATTCAAATCCCGTGTCTAGTCACTAACACGTGACAGTATTTCTGTTTAATTCGCAGAGTGACTGCAGGTTTCATAATGATATAGATATTAATGTGAAATTTACTGCAATAATGGACATATGGCTCATGCAGCGAAATCTTCCCTTAAGTTGAGTTCCATTCCATGAGCGCAACGTTTATCACGTTCACTGAGATCCAGAGCAAAGGCGTGAGCAAAGGGCGATTCTAAACTATTGTAGGGGTTTCTGTGCCTGTAATTTCCAAGCTGGAAATATCAAAATAAAACCGCTGATGCAATATAAAAGTGTAACTCAAAAAGTTTTATTACTCATAGAATCAATGCTGCATAATGCTGAACAACTTCAACACGCTCACCTTTCATGGCACGTAAGATGTCCAAGCTTCCTGGTTTCTATCGATATCTTCCTGCGAAATGCTCGGTCTTCCTTTCGTTTTCGGTGCAGAGCACTACCGGTCTCTTGAAATTGCTTTAACCAATTGCATTTCTCCTTTTCTTTCTTTATTGTCTTTATGTGTTTCCTCTTTCTCTTCTGGGATATCAGCGCCATCTACACCAACACTTCCAGAGAAAGTGTTTTCGCGTTTCATGATAGTTGCATTATTAGTTTTTGTGCATTATGAACAATGTGTGACCAATTCCAGATATCTTCATGTTTATTTCTTAATCTTACAGTGATTAACGATTTCCCTTCCATCGCCAGAGAATATGTTCACGTGACTCATTTTTCAGTGTCGGCACTTTAAGTTTCAAGCACGAATTCAAAGCGACTATTACCATACTCTTATATGTGACGTCGAAAATTTCTATAGAGTCTTACCAACTTTCGGAGGAAACTGCCACTTATACGATTAAGACCATAAAATTGAAGTAAAAGGTTGCTCCAAAAATCAGTAACGATCTTCCACATTTACAGCGTAACAGTCCAGAAAAAAGTAATTTTTACTGACACTAACGCGGGCTCCTAGGAGCCGGGATATTGTAGTCGGTATAGCAACTGACTACGGGCTGGACAACCGAGGGGTCGTAGTTTGAGTTCCGGTAAGGTCAAGAATCTTTTCTTCTCCATGTCATCCAGACCGAAACTGGGGTCCACCCTACCTCCTATCCAATGGGTATGGGGGCTCTTTCCCCGGAAGTAAAGCTGTCGGGGAGCGAAGCTGACCACTCACCTCCAGCTAGTGGCGAGGCCAAGAAAATGAGCAAGTACGAGTATATATCAACTCCACCATACGCCTTCATAGAATAGTGCTTAATTAGTTAAGCACAAAAACAACTTTACCTTTTACAGTAGGCTTCTAAAATCTTCCAATATTATGAGGGGTTTAGGCACCCCTTTAAATAATCTCAAATTATTGTCCGGGTTTATGCCGCCTGATGTTTTATTCTTTTTCAACAAACATTCATTAAAAATAATGTAAATATCCATAGAAATCTGAATATTTATATATATGCTAAATGTTCGTAACTTTCTAACTTCAATTTGTTTTAAATTTTATTTATTCTGTTTGTAGGATGATAATTTTGTAGAAAGTTTTCAGGTACTTTGCTACTGAACTCTCACGAGAAACTGCAGGTGTTACGAAGGCTAAAGCATGTTCACTGAGCTGTGAGGGATCAACTCAAACTAGGTCAGCAGATATTCACTTCAGAACCTGATTATCCGTCATACTTGTCAGAAAATGTAAAAAGCAATAAAGGAACGTTTATTTGTATTTTTAATTGTGATAAACACCGTAACCTTCCTTCTTCCTTCCTTTGTACTTGTGTCTGTTTCGGTAGATTACTTAACTCTTTTCAGGTTCGTGTCATGGCAGTGACTGAGGCGACCGGTAGCTGTAACCTAAAAGTCAGTCCACTGCTCGAAATCAACGACACAATGACTTCCACTGTTCATAAAATGTTTATTTACTCAAAATGAAATATTACACCTTCCTTTGCGAGCACGGAGTAATATGACCCCTTAATATCATCAAAATTTTACGATCCAAAATGATGTACTGCTGAATTTAGGGAAACATGAGGGGCGCAGCCGAATCACATATTACTCCGATTAATTCAAAATGCCAAGTCCCCCAAAACAAGCATTTGAGGGAGCATCGTTTCATCCACCAGAAGGATTTGAATTGACATCTCTAGTTGTTTGATTTTACTAGCCAACATCATTATGCAATCAACACAGGCCAATCACATAACGACTTTTGAGAATAAAGCAGTTCCCGAGATACACAACTCGGAACCCCATATATGAAAGCGGTTACATTCTTCAGTCTAGGGTCCAGCTACACCCTTTCGAAGACACTTTATGACAGCTACACTTGTCGACAAAAATAATATTCACATTTTCAGAAAATTACAGAATTGCCTCCCGTGGTGACCTTGCCCTTTCCGGTCACTCTAACTGAATGTAAAGAAAATCAAGGCAGTTGTTTTCTGTCCAGATACGAAAAACAAGTCATAACTCGGTACTAAATCGGTCTCGCCAATAAACCAGTCACACTTCCGAAATGACTAAAGAGGACAATAGAATCCACAGAGAACTGTAACATGTTTGGACTGTCACAGCACTATTGTTTATAATGACTAAATATATAATTTTTTAATAAATATTTAGAGCTTCTCCCATCATATACAAAATAAACACAGACAGGAAATTTATAGATTCCATTAACCGTTATTACCTGATTCAGGAGGAAATTAAGAGGCGATTGAACTCGGGTAATGCTTTCTACCATTCAGTCCAGAGCCTTTTGTCCAAAAACATAAAAATTACAATATACAAAATTATAATTTTTCCTGTGGTTCTGTATGGGTGTGAAACTTGGTCTCTTACATTAAGGGAGGAACATAGACTGAGGGTGTTTGAGAACAGGGTGTTGAGGAGAATATTTGGACCGAAGAGAGATGAAGTGACAGGAGGTTGGAGAAAACTGCATAATGATGAGCTTCATAACTTGTACTCTTCTCCAAGTATAATTAGAATGCTCAAGTCAAGGAGGATGAGGTGGGCAGGTCATGTAGCACCAATGGAGTAGACGAGGAATGCGTATAATATATTGGTGGGAAAGCCAGAAGGAAAGAGACCAAAGGGAAAACCAAGGCGTTGGACAATATTAGAATGGATCTTAGAGAGATAGGATTGGATAGTATGGATTGAATGGATCTGGCTCAGGATAGGGACCAGTGGAGGACGCTTGTGAACACGGTAATGAGCCTTCGGGTTCCGTAAAATGCTGGGAAATTCTTGAGTAGCTGCCGAATTGGCGGCTCCTCCAGAAGGGCTCAGCTCCATGAGTAAACAAGTAAAGCAAGTTATTACCTAGAACTCATCATCACACACTGTATCTTATATCCATGCAAATTTCGCTATCTTCTTTTGTATTAACGCGGAACAGCGCATTATTCTGAATCATGGAACAAATTGACAGAAATGTCTTTAGCTGCATCCTTCACATATCGTCCTAGATCCCTCCACTGATCAAAGTAGCTCCCAGTTTCACTCTATAAGTTCGCGTTGTACGGGTTCAAGATTCCCATTAAAGTTCTATAAGCTTACTTCAAAATCATAGAATTGAAAATCCACCAAATATTCTGCATATATATACGAGTATAAATAATAGAATAATATGTGAAATTCTTCAGTAGTCTAGACATCATTGCTTCCTGTTAGTGTCAAGTGTTTAATATTGGTTTAGTTAACTTCTCCGTGCTCGATGCTGTCCTTAACTTTCATCAGGAACATAAAGTAGGACACGCTCTGGTTGACCATCTGCAAGAACAATGAAAATAACAGGATACTGCAGTGTTCCCAACAACGAAGCCTCCATCAGCTTGCGAAAAGTTCATTCTGCCCCCGTTCTTGAGTTTGTGTGTGTATAAAAACAGTTTTGTCAGCTTTAATCTCTTTAAAATCAAAATATTTCAGATTCATAAAATAAATAATATTTTAACGGATCTGATCAACGCGTTGCGAGGCAACAGCTCCATAAACACGGCCCACTTCTAGGGCAATGGCACTGAGCTTTCACCTCAGTATTCGTTTTTATAAGTGGGCAGGACTTATGCCTTTACCATGAGTCGTCACAATCAAAATTTGAATTTAATATCTGGTCCACAAGATGGCAGTATTGAAAACTGAGGTTAGTATCTGCATCTTAAAGCCGATCACAGTGGCAGCGCGGTCTAAGGCCTGAACTGTCTTCGCTAACTCAAATATTGGGGCTCTGGGTTCGAATCTCACTCGAGACATACATATCTGTTTGCGTTTATTCTGTGTTTCTGCTGTCCTGGGTGTAGGTAGGGCCTTGCAACGTGTTGATCCCCCGTCCGTGGAGTTCTACCGACTGTGTAAGAGTTGAAGAAACTGAGAGAACGGGTAAAGGTACAACAAAGGGCTGTAGAGCCATAAATAGTATAGTTTGGATGGCCAGAGCGTTTCTAGGCAACGATCTGTAAACAACCTTCAGTTGCGTAAACGCACTCAACAATAGAATGGATGGCTGGACAACAGCCAGCGCGCCAATGGGCTGGCGAGATGGTTATCACGTGACTGGCTCTCTATGGAATCCATGCCGCGAGCGTTGCTATGCAACGTCGCGGTACACACTCGTCTCAAAAAATAGAACCTCTTTTATGTGTGTTTGGTGCGGAGGTTATATAACGACCGTTACAGAGAAAAGAGATTTCAGTGTTTAAGTGACAGTGAGAAAGTTCGTCGTGTGATTAGAAGACGTTATTCATGTGTAACATTCGGAGTGATTTGAAGGGCTTGTTCCTGTGTTTTAATTGCATTAAGAGGAGAGGGCAAGTGTGAGTGTGTAAAAGTGAATTATAAAGTGTGGAATCGGCGATAGCGCTCTAGATTAAGTGTGATTAAGAGGGAGTGTAACAAGGTGCTAATAAATCCAAACATCTGAAATAGAACCCGTCAATTTTGTCGCACCTATCATCCTACACGTGACAATAGATGGATGGATGGATGGATGCGTACGTAGAGAGGTAGGCATGTAGGTAAGTAGGTAGGTGTGCGAGGCCGCGCCATAGCTCAAGCGGTTAGTCGCTGGCTTCCCACCGCGGCGAACCGGGTTCGATCCCGGGTCTGGTCAAGTGGGATTTGTGGTGGACAAAGTGGCTCTGGGGCAGGTTTTCTCCGAGTACTTCGGTTTCCCCTGCTAATCTTCATTGCATCAGTTGTTCCACAATCACCCTCACCTATCATTTGGGGCTGGTACAATAGGCCAGAAGTGGCCGCAGTACAAGGGACTTAGTCCCACCCATCTAGTAATAAAAAAAGGTAGGTGAGCATGTGGGTTCATAGGTAGATTAAACAAACAGATAGATAGATAGATAGATAGATAGATAGATAGATAGATAGATAGATAGATAGATAACTTAAGCGCAAAACTGACGTTTACGTCACTAAACGTTACGAAGGAAGCATGAAATTCATGTTGGTGTCAAGGTACTTCACAACAGAAGTGCAAAATTGGGATTTAAAGTAACGATAAGAAACAGATATCTGTGTCCTGAGGCGTCGGTGTTTATGTCACAAACAGAAGCAGGAGGATGACATCAGCTTCGTTAAGATGTTACGAATAGTATCGCAAGTGATGTGTTTAAGCAATGCTGCGGTGGTTCCGAAACACGAAAATATTCATGAGGCGACGGTACCGAACGTAAAACTAATGTCTACGTCATTTCAACTTAAAGGCATCTGTTATGTACCTGTATCTTGAGATAAGATCCGAATTTCTTTTGCTTTCTGTATACAAGAACAAATTTTATCTATTAATCAACATCACTAAACCGTCCACGTAGTTACTTGAGTCCATGGATTAGGAAGTTTCAGGCTTACATTGACCATGGTCCGGATGGCCACTGGCACGAACTTTCCGGCTGTGAGAGTGAACTCCTTGTTGGCTGCTGCTATAATTAATCTGATGCCCTTCTGGAAGGCAACGGGAGTTCCGACCCAGTCGCATCCCCAGGCGCCGTCTCGCACTTTCTCCACCTGAAACATCACGACACTGACTGAAACAATTCACAAAATGTAATTGGGTCAGGTGTCGTGACATACATACAAAGTTTCATAAAGATTAGTTATGGAATTGAAAAGTTCTTAAAGGTGATATACCGAAAAGAGCATACTTTTATTTCCTAAAAATATGAAAAATAGGCTGAAAATTAATTTGATGGTGCCCCATACCTTGAGTAGACGGCCCTATGAAACAAAATTGCCGTGTGTTCAATTAAACATCCTCTATGAAATTTAAAATTTCTATTAAATGTGCAGTTTCCGGTTGCCTCAGTTATTGCCGTAACAGGATCCTGATATGAGTCCAGTGGTCTACCGAAGCCGGCACATAAGTACAAAGAAAGAAAGAAAGAAAGAAAGGAGGACGCTGACAGTATGTAAAATTAATTTGGGATTTCCATATCAATGTCTTAATATGATCGTAGAATATGTTTATAAATATGCTCAATTTATATCAAATCTCTGAATATTTTTACGTAATATCAGGCGATTTTTGAAGCCATTAAAGTATCAATGGGTGTTCCACATCTGGCGAAGGAATAGCATCTCCAGTAAAGTAATTATTAGAGAAACTCTGATGTTCTTTTTTGTGAAAACGAATTTTCAATCTGACTGACACATTAAGACGAAAACTCTTTTAGGTTTAGAAACACGCGGAAATGATATTATCGATAACAGCTAATTTTAAACATTTTTTATGTAACCGATCATTCTTTTTTGAGAAGTTTACATCGTGATATCGCCGGCTAAGTGATTTATTCCAGCGCCAGGTATGTTTATGAAATTACAGTTTTCTTATTTTATACGAATTATTGGGTGGTTTAATCCTGTTACCTGATACGTGAGTTCGTGTCCAAACCAACAGTATATTGCCAGCACTAACAACAGCAGTGCATACGTCACGATACCTTGAGACATCTGAACGTAGTTCCCCCAACTCTGCCAAGAGAAACATAACAGAAACTTTCAATGAAAGTAATAATATATTTCAGCCTTCTGCTGCATTGATTTATCTGTAATGTAAGACAAACCGTTCACAGTCTCTCCTTTATTTTAAAATGTCATTGACTCGGGTCTGGTCAAGTGGGATTTGTGGTGGACAAAGTGGCGCTGGGGCGGGTTTTCTCCGAGTACTTCGGTTTCTCCTGTCAATCTTCATTCCACCAAATTCTCCATCATCATAATCACCCGGGGCAGGCTACAATACGCCAATCAGTGGCCGCCGTGCCGAGTGGACCCAGTTGGACTCCACCCCCCCCACTAAAGTGAATTAAAAAAAAATAATACAGACCTACAGATCCAGAGGTCCCGGTTTCGACTTCCGGCACTACCAGATTTTCTGAGAATTCATGGGTCTCGAACGGGGTCCACTCAGCCTTGTGACGATAGCTGAGGAGGTATTTCAAGGAAATAGCGGCTCCGGACTAGAAAACTGAGATTAACGGCCGTGGGGATCCATTGCACTGACCACGTGACACCCTCTATCCGTAAAAAGTAGGCACCAACTTCGCCGAGAAGCGGTGGTAAATCGGTCGGTATAGAAAGTTCATTTACACAAAAAAGAAATTGCTGTCCTCTAGGCAAAAGTTTGCCATTAACGCTGATCCATTTTCCGATGAGAGTTATTAACCTATGATATAGTATCATTATCATATTTAAGTTCAAATTTTAATTAATTAAATTTTAATCAAATTTAAGAGTACCTATTCTGAGACATAATTGAGACTTATGTCCTTGTTTAGATTCACTTTACATACTTTGACTTGGTTCAGCCTGGTCCGTCACACTGTTAATAGTATAAAAGATTTCTAACGCCGTCCAATGTGATTGATGAATGTTGTTTTCTCTAATCTTTCATCCTTTACATGTTTCGGTCGGAGCGAGAGCCTTCAGAAGGACATTATCAATACATGTGGACACTATTGTTACAATATCATAAATATAAAATATCATCCTTTAACAATTTCGGAGATGTGCATGAATTTATTAAAACATATATAAATTATTATAATTAGTGTATTTACAAGTATGGTTTAACATGAAGAAAGCAGTCTTCTGGGATTTTGCACCGTGTATATGTGGTGTTAACCGACGTTTCGGAGGAACGTCGGTTAACACCACATATACACTGTGCAAAATCCCAGAAGAATGCTTTCTTCATAGTCACCGCCGTGAAAGCCTCAAATCTTACATGGTTTAACATTTTTTAAAATCTAGAACCAGTTTGTTTCGTGTATTTCATATTGCCTCTCTTTAAAGGCAGATGAGTGTACACTATATCGTGGTTCCCTTGTTTGAACAGTAAGGAGGTTGCCCCGATCGAAACATATAAAAGATGAAAGATTACAAAACAAAACATTTATCAGTCACAGTGGACGGCTTTAGTAATCTTTCATACTATCACTTCACAGATGTTGAGGTAACGTGATGCTTGGTTCATAATCTCTCTCCTCTTGCTCTCACTTCGGAGCACAGGGCTGATTTCTCAGTTTCATGATTATTTTACAGAAGGTAGGACCCCTTGGACGGGTGATCAGTTTGTCGCAAGGCCTCTGCCTAAACACAGGACAACACGAACACAGAATAAACGCATACACACACAAAACATCCATGACTCGTGTGGGATTCGAACTCACAGTCCCGGTTTCCGAGAGAGCGAAGACAGTTAATGCCTTATATCTCTCGGCTAGCGTGACCGGCTCTCTTAGTATAATCATGAGCAAATTTTATTCACTTTATTTCGCCTAAGATCCTTAGTCTACTTCTTATACATCTGAATATAGCATTTCTGAGCGCTATGCATTCACTTTTTTTTTCTGTGGTGCTACAGCCCCAATTTTGGCCTAGGCCTACCTCCATGAAACTCTCCGTTTCACTTCGGTTTACTAGATCTTACACATTCGGTAGGACTCCTTGGGCGAGTGATCAGCTCGTCGCAAGGCCTCTATCCGTAGACAAACACAGAAAAACGCACACAAACATCCATGCCCTGAGTGGGATTCGAACCCACGATCCCGGTTTCCGAGCGAGCGAAGAGAGTGCATGCCTTAGACCGCTCGGCTATTGTGACCGGCATGCATTCACTTTATGTAAAGGTAAAATTGCCCTGTGCTTAATTATTTAAGCACTATCCCACTAAGACGAATGGGGAAGTGGAAGTATAGTTACACTACTCTTGACGTCGATACTAGATGGAAATGGGAGGTCAATTTTACACCCCGGCCGTTTTGCCCCAGGGAAAGAGCCACCGGTACCAATTGTATACGAAACTGAGTGGCCCAAGATCCGGTGTGGAAGCTATGGAAAACAGAAAAAACTTGCATTGCCGGGAATCGAACTCGGGCTCTCCAGCCCGTAGCCCTTCACTTTATATAAAGTGAAAATTATAGAAAGTCATGAGATACGCCCTTTGTGTTATCTGTAATATTTGCCTAACTCAATCGTTTCGAGATATCTCTATATATAGTAGCACGTACTACTTACGTGCCTTTGGAATTTTTATCCAGTTATCTGATATTCTACGAGTATTTCACATAAGTCACTTCCGTTCAGTTTCAAACACACTGCATATACACGTAAATACTTAATGAATGAGTGTTTTATTTATTCTCCGCATAAACTGGACCAGTATATTTCTGCGCTTAAAATTAGTTATTAATTGGATTTTTTAAACAGGACCCACTTTAGTCGTCTATCTATCTCTGTGTCCGTCCGTCCGTCCGTCCTTCGATGCATCTATCTATCTATCTATCTATCTATCTATCTATCTATCTATCTATCTATCTATCTGTCTGTCTGTCTGTCTATCTATCTATCTATCTATCTAATCTATCTATTCCTGTTGCTCCCACTTGTAGCAGAGGGCATCCGTGAAACTCTTGTTTCAGTTTCTTAATTTTGGACAGCCGGTAGGACTTCCTGGAAGGGAGATCAGCCTGTTTAAAGGCTGCTACTTACACACAAATACAGAATAATCACAGCCAAACATCCATTTCAAGAGTGGGATTCGAACCCACGATCCCAGTGGTAGAGCGAGCGAAAGAATTTTCTGCCTCATACCGCGCGGCCACTGTGATCGGAACCTTAACTGACTAACATATCTTTAACATGCAGGATAGATATCTTCACATGTCTCTTACTTATACTTAACTCAATACCGTGACCATTTATAGTGTGATGCAGTAGATTGATAGATGGTACTAAAGTTTCGGAGAAACCTCCTGCAGCCATCTTCAGGATCTAAGAGTAATCCTGGTATTCACCGCCGTCAGAATTTCTATGGAGATGATACTGTGTGTAGCATTCGTCGATCCTAATAACTTTCATCTAACGATGGAGGAAATAATTTGTTCTAAACACAGATGCTTATCTACGAAATTTCGAGGCGTCAGAAGACCTCAGACTTGATATTCACTGAGATAAGAATCTCAGGTCTCACGATATAACTATCTAAGGACTTATCAACCAACTAAACCCACGGAGCAAGGTCCATCTTGAGAAGTTGACATTCGATCTACAGGAGAGAAAATTTCACTCCATTAAAAGTAAAGATCCTGGGTCCTATCTTGAGCCGTTTCTATCCATCCTACATTAACAAATGCTAGTAATATCCCATGACTCTCAGAATCACAAGCATGTCCTTTCAGTTAGATTTCACAACTGCAATTCTGCAATGTTTGATTTGAGGATCTCGCAGCGGTGACTATAAAGGGTACGGGCTTATAGACGTGTAGGTCGGAGAAAGCCTTAAGTTTCAGAGGATCACATCGCCTCCATATCAGGCTGAAGATTAAGTCGAGCAAGAAAATAGCAGAAATAGTCGGCAAACCGAGAACTGCTGCTATAGACAGTGTCACGTAACTTCGAACAAGGCCCGCATTGCCAGTCAAATCCCGCGCATTGCTTGTGGTGGGAGGGGTTTCTTAACACTCGTTCTTCCACTGGCCTCCTGTCAATTCTAACACCCTCCACCCCCTTGTCTGAAAATTGTCTTCTGCGCATTCAAGGTTACTCTTGGCCTTGTTCGAAGTTACGTGACACTTGCTATACCGAGCTCAATTTGTAGTCTGCTTCTGCTGGTTTCTCGCTCCAGGTATTCTTCTTCCCCTAAGAAAACTATATAAAAGAAGTTAATCACTTCTTTCATTAATGCAACATCCTAAAAGGATATACTGAAAAATTATTTTGAAATTATCATTTAACAAACAAATTCTAATATTTTATTAGCTTACCGTGACGATAGAAAACGAGCCTAGACATAGAGAAGCTAGATCTAGGAGAAAAATGATTGTCATGATTGGATTCAGCGTATCCTCCATCGCTCGAACGTAACTGAAACAAGAATAAGGGACCCAAATCACCTAACCTTTTAAAGGGTACTGCACTGTCTTCTGATACTGCGGTAATACAAATATCGACCAATATTTCTTAAGCGAAAGCAACGTGCACCTCAGAATTTCGTGGTGATGCCGTACACAGTCACTGAGCTGCTGCTGCATGCGGCAGTATACATCCTGAGAAGTGTGTACTTGGGTCCCTTCCTCCTCTGTGTCAGTCTCAGCGCCCGAGTCCTGCGCTGGTGGGTCGAGTTCCTGTCTGATATCCAGGAGGTTCGCTCGCAGCTTCTCCAGCTGACTGCACGCGATGCATACCAACGTGGCGTATAGCCCGTTGAACCCCAGAAGTATTATTGTGTATACCACGCTAGCCAGAAGCTGTCAGAAATACAATCATATTAAATGAGTATAAGGATACACATAAGGAAAATCTGCATTAAAATTTTAGGAATAATTTCCGTTTTTGCAGTGGTTACTTATGCTTAATGCCTCTGGGTTCTTGTACCACAAATATGTTTTCTTTTTTGTGAAATTCAGAACATATGTCTTTACCATTATTGCAAAAAACTTGCGAATACTAAGTACCCATTTTTGTCTCGGTCCCAATATTTTCTTATGAAAGAAAGATTTGAAAGTGTTACAAAATTTGATTCAAATCCATGAATGTAACAGCAAATTAGTTGCCTCATGTGTCCTGCTGATTGTTTGTTTCTTTGGCTACATTCATTTCTTGTTTAATGGTAAAAATCTATGGAGACTATTCTGCTTTCTGGAATGTGATGTAATGTAGCCTGGTATATATTTACTGACGTTGTGCAGGAACTTGTTCTATCCTACAATATGTCAATTAATTTATACCAGGCTACGCGGTGTTATCCCCCAGAACACAGTATACTTTACAGTCGCCGCCTTAAGAAGCTAAGATCTGACTGTATCGAGACCTTGGGGATAGGGATAGTTCGTTATTTATGGAGTGGTACGGGGTGAAAGGCATAATTTCATGTATGTTTTCATATTTTTTATGCATTTTTATGCACCAAGTGAAGCCGTGAAATATCTTATGTTGCGTTTCGGAAGAGGACATAAGAATTTGAACTTCACTATATTGTAAATACACAGCGAATTAAGGCCGGATTTAAAATTGTGCGGCACCCGGACAAACAGAATGTGCAAGCTTTTATCAGTAGTAACAATCTAGGTTATGTTATTTTTAATTTCGGAATAACTAAAGATATAAATTAAGCTTTCGTGATTTTAGAGAAGTAGATGTCTTAATAATTTCTACGGAAATTATTCCTCTTTTGTGTAGGTTCCGAGGCGACAGTCCCGGTTACTCCTCCTGAAGCCGGGCCCTGCATGAAATTGCGAGTTTGTAACTACCAAGGAGAGTCATTAAATGGGTAACAAATTCATATAAATCTTAAAAACACGTGATATTTGAAACCGAAAAAAAAATATTTCTCGATATATCTACAACAACCATTGATACACTTGTCCGATAGCTTTACCACTGTGTCGAAAACCACACCACAGAATTATTTTGTCTCTTGTCTCAGCCAGTTCCACACCTTATCGGGCATTTTCTGCTACACTCGAGAGAATTTCTCGATCCACTTGTGAACCGGTTTCCGCGACAAACAGCTCCCACCTTAAACAGGAAATATTTCTTTATGAATATCTTTGCATTAAATTTTTTGCCCACAAGACAAGCAAAAGAGCGCTGCTCTTCGGTAGTATACCCCTCAAGCACGGTCGCCATTTTATCTACTGAAACCAGCCTCTGAACATGAGCATGCGAATCTGCCACCTAGACTGTCATGAAGATGGACTTTGCTGCTACCTAGTGATACAAATAGAAAACCTATTACATCCATTAGAGCTGTTTTACTTCCTTTTGTCACCAATTTACTGACTCGCCCTCGTACGAACAAGTTTTTCAGGAGTAAGTAGCATTTGGAATTCTACGTCACCTGCGAGGCGTTAACGAGCTCGAATACAACGGCGTGAGACGTATCGAAAGGATACCAACTGTTGTACGAAAGTCGAGGATTTGTCGAAACAAGTCTCTTCATCAGGACATAGCTGAAGTGGAAAGTTATAGTTAGGTTGATTAAACGCCGAGTGATGGTCTCTATTCGTGGGATCCATCCAGCCATTGTCAGGGAACCTGTTTCAGGATCTCTGGTCGGCACGTCTTCCCATGCGAAGGACTCTGCGATGTGTATCAGTCTCTCCAACGCATTTATCCGAAACCTGAAACAATAAAATTGTAACGTTGGAAAGTGTGGTAGTCTGAGTTCCAACGCTGTGTAGTTAGCAGAGAATCCGACGTTTCGTCGAAGATACCGCCTCCATGTTCAGTGTCGAAGAGTAGGCCAAAAAAATTAGCAGTAATAGGCGACAAGAGGACACTTTGACCCAAAAGCAGCAGAAAATATTGTAGCGTGTAGAGATGTTACTACGCAACGACCGCAAGATGGGCGGATTTACCAGGACTGCTTCCGGGCAATGACTCGGTAAACACGCTCCCGCGAAGCAAACAACGGAACAACGCCCGTTTGCTAGGCAGAATATATATATGTGTGTGTGTGTGTGTGTGTGTGTGTGTGTCCGCAGTGACGTCACATAATAGTAGTTAGCGGTCATGTGACATGTGTTTTCTGTGATCCATGTCTGTTCCGCGATTAGACGAGAATTCATGGGCAGTTGCGAGTCAGCCGTAAGCTGAAGAAGTGAGTCCAGAAGAATTTTTAGTTCCGAGGTTCCAGAGTGATTGGAGACGAAATAGCAAAGATACTTCATAGCGATTTGAAGTGCTAGTTTCTGTGTTAAGATCCGTTGCCAGGAGATGACTAGTGAAGACGGAGAATCCTAGTGCGTGTGCAAAGGTAAACTGTAAATTGTGTAAATCGGCTATAGCGCTGTATTAATTGTAATTATGAGAGGCTGTAACCGAGGTGCCAGTAAATCCAATCATCCCACCTAGAACCCGTTATTTTCGTCACGCATACCACCGTACACTTAGCAGTACATTTAGTAGTAGAATTAGTGTAGGGTGCGAGGTCCAAGAATAAAGTGACGTGGACTGATGATAATAAAATTATAGTCGGAATGCAAAACCTATTGGCTTTAAAGATTAAGAAGAAACTTACGTAATGGGTAGGTTCATACTTCGTACTCCTCAGACAGTAGTAACGTGTTACAAATGTTATTATCAAATCAAGGAAGATGAGATAGGCGCAATATGTAGCTCGCATGACGGTAATAAGCAGGGCCCGGATATTGATGACCTGAAAATGTTTAAAAAGTGACCTATAAAATGTAAGAAAAAAAATCCAGAAAAATGACTTAAAATATGACCCAAAAATGTAAAATGCAGGCCCCGGATTTTGATGACCTGAAAATATTAAAAAAATGACCTATAAAATGACGGAAAAAATCCAGAAAAATTACCTAAAGAAGAAAAGAGAGAACACTTCGCTTCCATGTTATTCACATTTCAGGAAACATATGAAGAAAAATTCCCTAAAATGGCCAAAAATGACAAGATATACCCTTAAAAGTCCAAAATTTACCAAAAATTACATTTCTGTAACAAGCAGCTCATATCCGAGATTTATATATTTAAGAGCATCGCATAGGAAACAAGGAAAAACAGATGACATGTCATCAAAATCCTGGCCCTGGTAATAAGTAATACACACAAGAAAAATAGTCTGAAACCCTGAAGGGATGAGACCTGTTGGGAAACATAAACGCAAACTACACGGTCAATATTAAAGCGGATCATAGATAAATAATACGTATGACATGACTGATTTTAACTTGTTCATGAGAGAAATGTATCATGGATCCTCGTCAACACAGTAATTATCCTTCGGTTGCTACGAACGATCAAGCTTCTCTTGAAGAGCTGACCGACTGTTCAGCTTCTGGAAAAGTCCTCTGCTCCAGGGAGATAATTGTGATAATGAAGATCACTGGTACCTGAGGAAAAAGTATATCCACACAGTCATTCCTGCCCCTGCAATAATTCTCGCAGTTTCCATTGTGCGTTCCAGATCTCGCGTGTTCTTCAGCAGATCCACGACTTGAGAAAAATACGATGCATAGCAGCACACTGTCATTACTGCAGCGTATAAACGGAATGTTACGGGGACCCTGTCCATCAGAAGGGGCAGTCCAGTCACGCGGAACGCTGTTGCAAAGTAGTGGAACCGCGTCGTCGCCATGTCTTGCTCGGCCATTTTCGTTTGAAGTATTCACGTACGTCGGAATATGAACCCACGACCAAGAAAGGCGATGAATCTGAAGCCTCACATCCGGCGCACGCAGGCTCCAGCTTGCTACTGAAAGGAAGTGAGACCTGTGCAGCTGGTTTGTACTCCTTTCGGAACTGTAATCCATATTTTGACTACTGAAATATTTAGTAGAAGCAAGCTTTCGTCTCGTGCCTGGCCAGAATTCTATTAAAACTTTCAATTGGAAGTTCAGAGGAAGTTAATATTATATTCGAAGTAATTTGTGTAACTAATAACATAAATAGCATACTTAACAAGAAGTAAATGTGTACACACACAAAAGTTGATTTAACTACCAAATTGGTGCAATCTTATTTTTAATTTTGGAAAAGTTTAACGATTTCAGTTTACTTTATTTATAGTCCATAAATGGAGAAATTACAGCTGAATCACTGAAGGAAGCTGTACCATAGTTGTTGCAATTACATAACATTACATTATTTATTATACTGCAATTGGGTTTTAGCCCGGTGGCAGTAGTACACAATAGGACACAACAGACAAGTAACACACATTACACTAAGTGACAACACGTTCAAACAAAACACAATACACAAAACACAACAATAAGGACATCCTACCACAGTGAATACAAACCAAATACGATTAACAACTACAACAATTACAGAGAAATACAAATAACTGCAACAAATACAACAACAAGAAGGACATCCTACCACAGTGAATACAAACCAAATACGATTAACAACTACAACAATTACAGAGAAATACAAACAACTGCAACAAATACAACAACAAGGACATCCTACCACAGTGAATACAAATCAAATACGATTAACAACTTGTTTCAAGTACTTGAGCGCACGTCTGCATGTAGGTATGATATTCTCTTCCCGATCACAGACGAACCCTGCGTAGGAGTTTATATTATGGTGCTTAGAATGGAATTCTCTACAAGGCATGATCCGATTCATATGAAGAGTAATAGCTTTACTTGATTTTCCACTAACCAAGATAACTCATGTACACAAGAAAATTTACTGTCATTGTCATCATTTGAATTTTACAATATTTTGCATCCAGAACACTTTTACAAATATATTCTGATAAATAAAACAGAAGACTACTCTCCTTATTTTGAAAAAAAAATAAAGGAGACTTATGACCTCACCGCGTGTCATAAAAAATTTGAACGCCTCGACTGAAATTTATGGGATCTGGTTTGTATATCATGTCACCCGAGGTCATTTCAACGGCATACGTAATAAATCGCTTGAATCACTAACACGGGAGCCTTCGAATTTTTTCAGTTACTAATCTTAATGTTACTTGAATGCCTAAACCGATCGTCATGAAACTTGCTGTGTATATTATGCCACCTGAGGCATACAAACGGCATACCAACGGCATACTTCGTAAGTCCGTCACATCAATAATACAAACACTGCAGTCCATGAAGTTGTTGCTGTAATAACTTTAATACTGAAGAAAGCAGTCTTCTGGGATTTGGCACAGTGTATATGTGGTGTTAACCAACGTTTCGGAGGAACGTATCGCCTCCATCTTCAGGGTAGAAGGAAAAATATAAGAGATCCGCAAGCGAAGAGACCGTGAGAACCGGTAAATGCAGTCTGTGGAGTCACACTTAACGCTGGGTTGTTCTGAACACTTCGAGAACACCCAAAGTAGCGTATATCAGAATTAGCCTTGAAATCCCTTTAAACTGCCCATAAAATGCACCCAATTTTATATATATAATGTAATATGTATGTAATTGATGCAAATGATAAAGGCTAAATATTCAAACGGAAATTTAGTAAATACCACAGAATTTTGGAGTTTTGACCACATGAAGCGTCCTTTAAGATGAAGTGTTACCATTTAAGTTGCATGTGTGTAATCATTAATAAACATTTATGATAGTGACAATAAATCTGCGAACAATTTTTCAGCGACATTTCATGAGAAGCAACATAACTCTTATTTTGTTCTGTGTCAAAGCAAGCAGATTACATAAAAATTCATACTCTTTCAACTGTTTGTGATTCTCCTGTGGACATGAATATCGTGAAATATTAATACTGCCCTATACTAAACTTCGTCACTACAAATCTACAATTTATTGTAATCCCTCTAGCATCTCTTCCTTATGCTTGGTCTGAAGCATGAACATAAAGAGAGAGATAGATCCTTGCGCCATCTCTGCACACAAAAACACCCTGTATTTCATTATGTCTAAACGATTTTGAAGTAAATTAAGAATTCTTAAACCATAGTGTCTCAGCCACTGAAATCTCTGCCATATTACATATAATATCTATTATTAGCAGAGAAAAAGTTTATTGTCCATTTCTTATTCACACTTTGAAGAAATAATTTTAGAGTCTTCTATGTTTCTAATTAATCAATTTCGCATTGCGGAGCAGAAAAAGGCAAGAAAATTGATGGGAAACTTCCCCGAGGATCAATCAGCCGAAGCGTAAAGATGAATATTGATTTGAAACTAATGACTTCACCCTTTTGGCTTCTACACCAAGACAAGTAAACTTGTGGAGCTGGTATAGCGACTGGCTACGGGTTGGACAACAGAGGGGTCGGAGTTCGTGTCTCGGTAGGGTATAGAAGTTTCTCTTCTCCACATTGTCCATACCGGCTCCAGGGTCCACCCAGCCTCCAATCCAAAGGGGACAGGGGGCTCTTTCTCCGGGGGTAAAGCGGCAAGGGCGTGAAGTTGACCACTCATTTGCAATTATTGCCGAGGTCAAGAAAATGTGTCTATAAATCCACTCCCCCATACGCCTTCAAGGCTTTGTGTATAATTATTTAAACACAGGGACAACTTTAGTATACTCGTTTTTAAAGTTACGAAAAGTTAAAAGAAATAGGTGACATTATATGCGGAACGCTCCTAGTACTTAGTGATACAGAAATAATCATGAACTCTATGTTGAAACAGAGCCCAACTTATCCC